CCACAAGCAAGAAGTGCGAGAAAAGAAACTGTTAGCATATAACTGATAGTTATATCTAGCCAATTCAACTGTGAATTGTTGAGACCTTGTTGTCAATCTAGTCGTCGTCGACATCTGTCCGTCTTGACAGTAGTTGGTGCGCTATGAGCCTGGGCAGGATATATGGAGAACTAAGGCTGCCCAGACGTCTAGTTCCCCCTCTCGGCCTTGCTAGCAGAGTCCAAAGGAGAGGATAAACCAATACAGTTTGGTACCAGCATGGCTGCAGGAGTTGCCAGAAGGTAGCACAAAGTGCTGCCCATCCGCCTTAGAGGCTCCACTCCGGGTTTGAATTCAGAGTTGTCCTCCTCCTAGACTGATTGCCATCCAAGGCTATAGAACCCAGACTGACTTGCTATTTACCCATAGCTGGGGGTAGAAGAAGAGGATTCATACCTTTCCCAACAGTATTAGCATGTAAGTGAATATAATGGATTCAATTGGAATTCGAACTCGGCTCTCCAATTTCTCAATCCAAGCTGCTATCCATTACTCCACTGTGCCTCCTCCAATCTAGTACTGCACTTAAATTCATAAAGTCTAGGTACCATAGAAGAAAGTTCATCAGGACAATTACTATGAAATTATTTATAGAAAAGGTACAGGGAAGCAACTTTATGCCAATGGGAAAGTGACTGAGGCCAAGATGCCAGGTTAGAACCAATAATAATGCTGATTTTTAATTTTATCAAGAATATATAGCAGGAGCACTGAACCATTTGTGGCAGCAATATTCAAAGCATGGATCAGTAGTAGATTTATAGATATGTAAGATATATTCTTGAAAAAAAATACTGTCTCACATAACACAGTGAACCAACTTTCTTAGCAGCTGACCTAGCAATGGATTCAATATAGTCTTTCCATTTCATATCAGCTGAGAAGCCCAAGAAGGCACAACAAGTCACTTTCTGGAGGTTAGCATCAGCCATGCTGATGGAAGGCAGAAAGAGATCACAAAGATGACTAATAAAGAGCAGTTTAGTTTTGGAGGTGTTAAAATTAACACACCATTCTTTGCATAATAATTTTTCTCTTTATCAAATGAAATTTTGCTAGCCTCACATTACTCTACAGATGGTCAAATGAGTTACACTAATTTTTTTTTACTAGTATCAACTATATACGAGGCCCAAGAGTCACTCAAGGTAGTGGTTTACTGAAGACACTTGTTTGTGTGAGTGGTAAAAATAAATTGGCAAGAAGTGCAGTTTAGGAGGATATGTGGGATTTAATTGGTTGATTTGTTTGCTTAACAGCATATCAACCCCTTATGGGTCATTTAATGCTGAAATTTAATTTTCTTGGGAGCTTTTATAAAAATATGACACATATTATTCTACTTTCACAGTTGAATACATGGCAAATGACACTCAGCATTTGTGTATATACATGTTTGTGTGAACATAATTACTAGAGACGGTGATATGCATATTTTATGCTGCAGTTTTGCTGAAGTTATATTTTGGCAAACAGTTCGATTTCTTTAAGAAATTATAAGATATTATATGAATTAATGTCATGAAAAAGTTCTTTCATGTTGTCCGTTTGATTTTGTTTGGCAGCATCTATGGGTTATGCAATGTGGAAATCTAAATATTTTGTACGTAATTTTATGCTTTCAATGACATATATTTTGTATATAATTTTATCCTTTCAGAGTAAAGGTATGTTTTTTAGATATATGTTTTGGAAATCATAAAATATATTGTTTATAATTTTACTATAAAAATATACTGTTAATTTTTGTTTGGAAGTTCTCTGTTTGCCCATAGCTAGGACCCTAAGAGGTGCTATCACCCCATGTCATGGTGGACCTTGGAATAAGAACAATTAAAAAGAGTTTCCATGTTCTTCAATCTCTCCATCAGAAGACTTGCTGCTGGATGTAGTTGGTTATCATACTCAAGACTAGGATATGTAAGAACATAACTGTTAACCCTAGACTTGAAAAAATTAAGATGGGAGTGATTTGGAAAGTATCCTCTTGGGAGCCAATTAGCAGGTAATGGGAAGAGACTGTTAGATTGGAAATTATTTCTCTTTAATAGAATATGAAGGGAATGAAGATGTTTCACTTCGGTTCATGTGGTGTAGTGGGCCTTAGCTGGGAGGGTTAGAGTTGGTGGAGCTAATTAATTCAATAAGTAGAGGTGAATGTAGAGAAACTGTTTCAGTGGAACTTACAATGTGTCTGTGGGAAAGAGGTTGTTGGGTGGAAAATAATTCATTACCCACAACGTCAAATAGTTGCTTTTGAACTCAAAACTGGAAAGTGAAGACTGGGTAGCTCCAGCCTAGACATGGCAACAGCTTTCCATTTTTGGTCTGATCTGACTATTGTAATGGTAATTCTCTACATATAATATGTGAAAGCATGTGCAATACCATGTCCTCGTCAACCACCAACCAGGGGAGATAACACAGTTTTGGTGGCTAAGGTGGTACTGCCACCCCTGGTGCCACTAGCAGCTTTTGTCACCAGAACAGGTTATTGTTTTTGTAGAGCATAGCAAGTGGAGTCAGGTTCTTACTGGATTGATGCAGAGAACTGACTATTTGTCCTGCATCTTAAACAAAGGATCATATGGATAAAGGTAAAAGGAAAATGCATCTCATCCTTCAAAGGTTTTTATCAAGGATTTTATTTTGTAATAAGTATTTATATACAAGATCAATAATGTTATTGGCTTTTCAAAATTTTCAAATTTAAGAATGCTCATAAATATTCATCAGGTTAGCCAAAAAGTCAGGCAAGCTATGGAGGATGTGAAGTGGCACAATGGATTACATGTACAAATAGTGGTCTGTGATAAGCTTTAGTCATACTAGGTGTTCAAGACAAAGGGCCTCCTTGAGAGAAGAGCCATTTATTGCGATAAATGAAAATTCAGGGTCTGCTCAGTGATGACGGAATTTTACTAGTTTTGTTTTTGATGTATTGAATGTGACGAGATAGTTTTATCCCCATTGAGATGTTAGAGCCATGTCAGAGGAGAGCTCAACCAGACTTTGGTCATCTAGAATTTTGGAGGTGTACCTATATTACTATTGTTTCATCTGCATAGATATTTATAAAAGATACTCTTAAGCAGATCATTTATATAAAGGAGAAAAAGATCTGGACTGAACAGTGAACTGCATGAATCACATGGACAATGAAGAAATAGCCATTAACTACTACCTTCATGGAGTGACCTGTTAGGAAGGATTAGACAAATGAGAAAACTCTACAAAAGAGCTTGTGTAGCAACCCCCTATTCTAGACTTGTCAAAGGCCTTTCATGTATCTAATGTGATCATTCTCATGATGTATTTAGCCTAATATCTTGCTTCTCAGTGGTGAATCATCCCCATTCCCTTTGATAGTAAGTCAGTGTGTCGAAGGACAAAGTGTCAAAAGACAAAATGATGAATGGACAAAATATCAAAAAGACAGTTTTGAATGAACTAAGTAACAAACAAAGTGTTGACTGGATAAAGTGTCAAACAGAAAAAGAGTCAAACTGACAAAATGGTGAATGGACATAATGTCAAAAGGACAAATTGTCGAACAGACTAAGTATCGAATGAAGTGCTGAACAGAAAAAAGGCAAATTGAAATAAATGATGAATTGACGTAATGTTGAAATGACAAAGTTTCAAAATGACAAAATGTTAAACAAAGTAAAAATGAACATATCATCATGATTTTAAAAACTCATTTCAATTAATCTTTTCTAAACTTCTATTGCTTACCTTTGGCATAATTTAATAATTAATAGCTTTAAAATGATTAAACCTCCATAATAATTGGTCAGTGGTTCAATTTGGTGGGAGGTCATTTACTATGCTGTGTTTTTTACCAAATTAAATTGATAGTCTTCCCATATATATATATTCATTAGTGACTATAAATAAAAATTTTAACTCTTTACTGTAATTTAAATGCAGATCCTTGTTAAAAAATTTAGCAATTATCTTGAAAAATTTCTTTTCATCGGAGGCTTTTATATTAGTTTAAAATTTTAAAATAGTTATTTACAAGCATAATACTTGCATGCCAAGTAAAAGGTACTCTATTGTAGACACATTTCTGGCCTTTTGTCATTTAGTCAGTTTGATTCTTTTCCACTAGGCACTTGTTTGATCCTTTGTCCATTCAACACTTTGTGCATTTTCCTATTGATAAGAAGCAAGATCCACACAGAGTGCTTCTTTCTCAGAACTCTTACTCTGTGGAACAAACACCTGAGAGGATACGTTCCTGACAACTACAATCTTGTTATCTTCTTAATCCATCTTTCCTCCTCCTTTGCAACAACCAATATTGGTAAAATCTACACAATATATGTATAGAATAAATATATTATGTATTTCATGTTATATCTGTGTTTAAAACAAATATTTATAATAATTTATTTGGTGCTGTGAAAATTTTTGTTCATCATATTGTAAGTAGCTTTATAATGGTAGTTATTGATATTTCTTTTTGTAATTTCAAATATATAAAGATCACCATGGGTTATCAGAAGAGAATTAAGCTCAAAAGAGAAATAAGATATTGTAAAGGTCTCAGTGATGTGAACACCAACACTTGAAATTGTGAAAAAGTTGAACTGAGATCAGAGAACAAACAAACAAAAAAAAAGAAACTGAAAACATTGACAGGATAAGAAGAAGAAAAATAAAGACTGACTTTAGAGAATCTTGCAAAAACAGATTTGAGAAAAATTCAGTCTGAAAGCAAGAAAAGTGGATTGACAAGCAAGAAAATATTTGAAGAAGCTGATGTTGCAAATGTAAAAAAGAGGATAAAAAGATGCAGAATATTAAGAACATTGGCAGAAGGCATGAGAGCATTTAAAATAACATCTTTAAATATATATATCATGAAAAGAAATGTATAGGTTGGATGAAGAAGCACATGAAAACTGATTTTATAACAGTAAATCTTAGTGATGAATGTAAAGTAACATTAAATGAACCTGCTAAATCTATCTATCTATCTATCTATCTATCTATCTATCTATCTATCTCATTCTGTCCATATCTATGTATGTATGCATGTTTGTATCTATCTATCTATCAGTTTGTTCATATCTATCTATCTATCTATCTATCTATCTATCTATCTATCTATCTATCTATCTCATTCTGTCCATATCTATGTATGTATGTTTGTATCTATCTATCTATCTATCTATCTATCTATCTATCTATCTATCTATCTATCTATCTATCTATCTCAGTCTCTTCATATCATTCAATGTATTTCTGTTTCTATCTATCTATCTTATTCTGTTCAAATCTATGTCTATGAATCTATTTTTCTCAGTTTATGTATGTATGTAAATATGTATGTATGTATGTATGTATGTATGTATCTATCTATCTATCTATCTATCTATCTTATTCTGTTCAAATCTATCTATCAATCTATTTTTCTCAGTTTATGTATGTATGTATGCAAATATGTATGTATCTATCTATCTATCTATCTATCTATCTATCTATCTTATTCTGTTCAAATCTGTCTATCAATCTATTTTTCTCAGTTTATGTGTGTATGTATGTAAATATGTATGTATGTATGTATGTATGTATCTATCTATCTATCTATCTATCTATCTTATTCTATTCAAATCTATTTGTCTATCAATCTATTTTTCTCAGTTTATTGATATCATCCTATGTCTGAAAAACAAAGTTTGATTTGATTTGTTTGTTTACAACAGTGTTATTTTTTCACAGAGATCTTATTTTCTTGATGCTTATCATGTTAAAACACCAGTTTTCAGACAATCATCAAAGTTAAGCAATGTTGAGCAAGAAGGGTGAATGCTTGGTAATATCAGATGATGTAAACATGGATATGTGGGTGGTGTAATGGATAATGCCTTTGAATAAGAAATCAGAAAGCCAAGTTCAAATCCTGATTGGGTTAGTTACATTCACATACTCATACATATACTTGTGGGAGCCGGGGGTTAAATATTAAAAGTTTTATCTAAAAATCATTATTATCAAGAAAATAATTGATTAATTCAACGTTTACTCACAAAAAATAATAATTATTCTTACAATTCCTTAATAATGTTTCTGTTTTCTGATTCTTTCAAACCCAGTAACCCTTTGTCTCTTAATGGCTTTACTGCCTTGCTTGGGATAAATTTGATTTTAAAAAAAAATGGCTGGCTGATTTATTACAACCAGTGCTAGACATGTATTCAAAATATTATATTAAAGACTCATTTTCATTTGTAAATTAGATTCAAAATTGTCCTTTCTCTCCCCAAGATAAGTTCATGTGTTATTTACTTGTGTTCCTCTTCAGGAAAATAGAAATATATATGTTAAAGCTTTTTATCATAGTTGCTATTCACCCCACCTTACTTTTTCTGAAACTGTTTTTATTGAACTAATTAAGCTTGCTCCCATGTTGGTGGAATTCATTTTCAGCAATATAAGGTACAGGCAAATTAATGAAAGTGCTATGAGTAACCCTTTGGGGCCCACTCTGGCAAATATTTTTGTGGAGTTTTATGAACAATTACGATCTCTTATTTTTGTGATTCCTGTTCTTTTCTTGTTTTTTTCTATTACTCATATTCTTTCACAGTCAGTAACTTCTTGTGACTTAATGGCTTTATTGCCTTGAATGGGGCAAAATTATTAAAAAAAATATACTGAAAAACTGCAAAAAAATCTCAGAATATGTTTCAGCTTTAAATGGCTTACAGAAAACTGAACAAACACAAAAAACAAATCAATCTATCAAAGCTATCAATCCCATCAATCTATCAAATCTATCAAATCAATCTTTGAAATCTATCTATCTACCTATGATAGAATTTCCTAGCTCAGTTCAGAATCAACTGTGTTCATACGAATCTCAATTTTCAGCTTAGCACTGAGCCTTACTGAAATTGTGTAACTTAGTATTTCAAAGGTTAACTGCAACTTGACTGATTTTACACATGGGTACATCAAAGAGTTTGCTGTTCTATAGAAGCTGCTAATGAGCTGTGGGTCCCAAAAGTAAAAGGGCATACTATTGAAACCAGATTAATTTAATTGCTGATTAATTGATTAATTTTAATTGCTGATTAATTGCTGATTAGAATGATAGATAGTAATTGACAGAAATGAAGAATGTCAGTTGGAGATGGATTAAGCGCTCTTTTGATTCACAGAGAAACAGTGGGTGTTGATCGAAAATCTCAGATGTGCAAATAGCCTCATTAATTTTGAGGTAGGTTAACATTGATCCAGTGGCAATTATCTTTGTATTATATGCTTTGGTTTGTAAATTTATGGCACATTAACTCACCTATAATGGTCAGGTGATTATACCTGATAGTTCTTGTGTAGCAAAATAACTTAGGATTTTCAGTATTTTTCTGTTGGAGACCTTTAGTTTTACACTTTTCTCTCTGAGACGTCAGTATTTCCTTCTTAGTTCTTCCTTTTTGTTATTTGTTCTCTGAGTTCTTTTAATTTCTGTATATTTTTTTGAGTCCTTTATTTTAATATTTTTCTGTCCGAATGCTTTAATTCAAAATTTTCTCTCTGAATCCTTAAATTTGAATATTTTCTTTTCTGAGTCCTTTAATAGACAGGGTTTTCTATATGAGAATTTTAACATCACTATTTCTTTTCCAAGTCCTTCCTTTTTCGTATTTGTTTTCTGAGTTTTTTTTTTTTTTGTTTTTTGTTTTGTTTTGTTTTTTTGTTTTTTCTTTTGTTTTTTGTTTTTTGGAAATTTCAATGTATGTGTATCTGAGACCTTTATTTCAGTATTTTCTATCTGAGTCCTTTAGTTTCCATGTCATGGGAGTGTGATATATGAAAGGAATATTTCCTATTGAATTTCCCCTAATATAAGCATTATTATGTCTCACCTTTTACTGTTGAACTAGTTAGATGTAACTACCACTTCTACTAACAGTATCTTTTCTCACTCCTCCCACTTGTCAAACTCTCTTCCAATTTCTTGCTACCCTCATAACTTTCTTCTTTGATGTGCCATGTCCCTTCAGGTTATAGGCAATCATGGCTCTCCCCTTCCCCTTATCCCTTGTAGCTCTTAATAAGTTTTGTCCCCTTGCTACTTCCCCCAGGCAATGTTCAGTCGTCCACCAGCTAGGTGTATCACGCATTGCTTTCCCTTGTTTCTCTTTCCCTCTATCCGTCCTGTGAGTATCAGATTCTCCAAGCCCTTCTTTTTCATTACATGTCCCAGAAACTTTATCTGCCTCTTTCTGATGTTAAACATAAGCTTCCTCCTTGTTTGCATCCTCTTCAAAACCTCATCATTGCTCACATGCTTGATCCATGATATACTTAGCACCCTTCTGTAGAACCATACCTCCATTGCCTCAATTTTATTTTCATCTTTGAGGAGATTGTCAAAAATTTAAAAGAAGGACAGATGTCATATAACAGTTCAGTACTCTTTTCTTTGTTACCAGCAAAATCCTCCTGGCTTGTAATACTCTGCCTAGCTTTTGGAATGTGTATTTGGCTATTGCAATATATCTTCGGATCTCAGCGTTGCACTCACTGTCCTTTGTCAAAAGACTTTCCAGATAATTAAATTTCCACACCTGTTTGATTTTAGTATCCTCGACCTGTAACTCATATTTTGAGCTCATCCTTTTCTTGATGACCATGAATTCTGTCTTCTTGTAATTTATGCTTAGTCCTTTCTTCTACCTCTCCGTCATTACCTTCTGTAGGAGGTTTTCTTAAGTGCAATTTCAATTGCCATCTTCTGTATTCTTGCACACTATTCCTTTTTCTTCCTTTCCTCAATGCTCCCTATTCACAGTTTTCTCATTCACTTTCACTTTCAATCTCTGTAACGTCCTGCATTCTAATGGCATCATAGCTTTTGCTGGAGGGAAATGATTAAAACTAAAATTTTTTATCCATATGTATCATCCTAACAATCCATTCCTTAAATATATCAGAAGTGTTTACACTTGTAGAGTACCATGTCGGTGATGTTGAGCAGAAGTAGATGAACACACATGGGTTAAGATTTTCCTGCTAGCCGGTCCAACTACATGAGAAAGTTGGACTTTAATTAAGTCCAAAGAAGGCAAAGAAAAACAAACACAAGTCCGATAAATATATGTAAACAAATATATGTATTAATAACAAGAAAGGTTACAAGTTACATGGACAGTTACATTGACAGAGTGCATGTGGTGAATATTATGTGTGTGTGTTGTTGTGAGTGTTCGTACGTACGTCTAATTTTCTTAGTGTGTTCCCAGCATTTGGGAAGCGCTGTATCTGTGAGCGTTCACATCTGTGAAGTGGTAAGGCTGAAAGCCTGAGGAAAAAGAGATTTACCTCAAGATGGTGGCCCAAAGGCCTGAGGGAAAAAGAGGAAGAGGTGAAGGGTCAGTGAGTATTTATAGCCAGGGAAGAGAGACCCCTGGTGAAAGGGTAAGGAGCTAAGGAGGAGCTAACTCCGACACACTATTTACATTATTTGGACTGTTGTTCACATCTTTATTGTCATATTCACAATGATTTGGCCATTGTACATTCATGTCTTCTCCAGGGTGATATACATTAGAATATTTACTCCACTGGGATAGATTGTTCCCATTCCATGTGTCATGTTTCAGTTTCAGTTATTTCCCTTTAGTAACTCAACTCTCCAATACGTGTTCCTTCTACTGTGGCCAGGTATTGAAAACACAACTCTTTGTGTCAAGTCAATGGATTACTTCAGCGAACACAGTTATCTACTGCCATGTATCCTTGTAAAGACGGCCAGAGCATACAATGGCTGAAACTTTGTGAATATGATGATAAAGATGAGGACAGCAGTCCAAACAATGTAAATAATATGAATAGTCACAATGCCCTATCTCAGAAATATAGACAGATATCATAAGTGATAAAAAAATAGGTTCTATACAACAATGTTCAACATAGAAGATGGTGGATTGACAAGTATAAATTTCCATGGCCGCTCACAAAAGTTGACTTCCATAGAAGAAAAGTAACACTTGTGGTGAGATTTTTGAGATATTATTTATTTGATGTTCTTAAAATGTAATGAAACACTAAATTCACATTTATATATACAACGGCAGCAATGTGTCAATAAATTGTTTAGTCAAAAAGTGGCATATGTTTGTCAAGAAAATATTGTTCTGTTCCATCCCAATGCAAGAACAACACAGGAATGATGTGTGGAACATGGTTGGTCTGTTCTGTTTAATTGGCAATATTTTCCTGGTCTTGTACAAAATCATTTATAACTTTTTGGATCACTACAAAACACTTTAATGGGGAGGGGATCTTCCTATATTCAAACCAGATTCAAGAGTTTGCAAAAAGATTTTTTTACAAGAAAACCTGCTGAATTTTACTCAACAAGTATCAAAGAGCTGCTTGATAAGTGGCAATAAGTCATTGCAAATAATGCTGAATATATAATTAAATAAATATAAAGGGCAGGTCCCATGCCTTGAGCACCTACTGGAACTGAAACTCAGCCCAAATATCAAGTGGAACTTGTACATTCTATCACTAAATATCCTGGAAAAAGGGTCAGTTCTCTGTAGAGCTCCAGTAAGTGTCTGACTCCTGCTATTCATTATCTTTGCAAGAGCCAGAACAGGTCAAAAATGGAGTACTACTGCTATTTATAGGCAGGGTCTGCCCAGTCTGCACTGTCTGCATCCTTGTGCATGACAAATTATTCCCCCACACGACCCCTTTCTCACAGATGAAACAATGTAAGCCTCTCACTGATCGATTGCTATTTCCATGGAAAGTGTTCAGAGGAACTATATTTCTTTATTTTCACCTGTTCTAAACTGCCATGTCATAATGCCTTCATTTCCTTTGTATTCCATGGGTGACATGTAAGTTCCACTTGAGCAGCCTCTTCCCATGAACGACTGCTTTGTGGAACCAATTCCCAAGAGGATGCTTCCTCGATCATTATAATCTTAACAAGTTTAAGTGTAAGGTTAATCATCATCTTCCCCACATATCCGCATAATCTGTACTGCTAACTATGTAACTTTCTACATTGAGTGGCTCTCGGGCCTTTTACAGGGTGAACATCAATGTAAAAAAAATATAATTGTACTTTCTTTTTTTAAGAAAAATTTTTGATAAACAAAAATGAAAATTATTTATGACTCAACTATCTATTTAGCTATCAGTTTGTGATGATCTCAGTTTTTTCTGTTTATCTGTCTGTCTTTATTAATTTTCTCTTTCTCTCACACATGCTGTCTTTCTTAGCCTGTTTCTATCTCAATCTATTTGTATCTATCTATCTCATTCTCTAACTATCTATCTATTTATCTATCTGTATGTTTCTATCTATTTTTGCTTCTTTCTATCTATTTATCTACCTTAGTTTGTTTCTTTTTATCTATCTCAGTATTTTTCTATCTATCAGTCTATTTCTATCTATCTATCTATCTATCTATCTTTGTTTCTATCTATTTATATATCTTAGTCTGTTTCTTTTTATCAATCTGTCAACCTTTTTATCTATCTCATTGTATTTCTATCTATCTATCTATTTTTCTTTCTTTCTATATATTTATCTATCTTAGTCCTTATCTTTTTACCAATCTGTCAACCTTTTTATCTATCTATCTATCTATCTATCTATCTATCTATCTATCTATCTATCTATCTATCTATCTATCTATCTCGGTGTGTTTCTATCTATATATCTATCTATCTGCCTCAGTCTATTTCTATCTATCTATCTTAATCTGTTTGTATCTATCAATTTTAGTCTCTATCTTAATCTGTTTCTATCTATCTATCTATCTATCTATCTATCTATCTATCTATCTATCTATCTATCTTAGTCTTTCCATGATTATCATAATGTTATTATTTATTATAATTAATATGATTGCTTAAATGACAAATATGTTTCTCTTTAACAATTTTCCAAAATTTCCTCTGCAAGCTTTTTCCAAAGTTTTCATTTCTGCTTTTGGAGTACACAGATTTCAACATTTCCTGAAATCAATGTTGAAAAAAAAAAGAAGACAGATTTGCCTTCTCCACTTTCTGCCAAATGTAATTGTTATGGTATAAAAAAAAACAAAAAAACCTAATATCAAGGTTTGAGCTGAGGCATCATGGTTTGGTGCACTGGGCTAACCTCAGTCAAAGAAAACATTATCAATGGTATTGATTGATTGGCTTTGTAGAGTGATTGCATAAAAAATGTTTGCTGGGCTAGATTCATACTCTGAGCACCCTATGAGATTTGCAAAACAAAATCTGCAAAAAAAATAAAAAAATAAAAAGGTCATTCGGATGCATTTATTTTTATTTTTAAGTAATTTTTTGTCATTGTCTTGGTTTTTTAATATTAATATTATTCGTACCATTAATATTATTAGTATCATTATATTGGTACAGAATGTGGAATTGGTGAGCAAAGTTCAAATTCCATGCAAGTCTGTTGCATTCAATTTCACACTAAAGCAAATGGAAATAATATGAAACCATTTCCCCACCACCTTGGGATTAAATAACAGATCAGATTAAGCTCTTTAGCTTTTGTTGGCAATCAATCTAAGAAATGGAAAATTCTGAATTTCAAACTGAGAGAGAACAGAAAATTTCTTTACTATTTTTCCAAAGAATGCTTGGTAATTTATAGATAATAAATAAGAGGCAGCTGTGGAGAGTCATAATCTTCAGTGTCCTGAAGGGGATAAGGCATTAAAAATATATACTATTAATATTTCTTCTGATTATTATGCACATTATTTTTAGTTGAACCAATTGAATGCAAAGTACCCATATACATATATCTAGGGCAAGACAAATATTGCCCAGTCCCCATGATAGGTAAGGTAGATATTACACATTGATCCCAGCCTAAAGTCACTGTTTACCCTGAGGGTAGGATACGAGATGAAGGGTTTTCTAATATGGAGTGCCTATATACATATATATAATACCTAAGAAGAAAAGTTCCTCATGACCATTGCTAAAGAAAAAAATTACACCAGTATTTATGTAGTGCATTGAGGGAGGTGCTGCTGGGGACCAGGTTTACCTCATAATTTTAAGAGGCAGAATGTAGAACCTATATTATATTTTGATACTCTTTGTATATGGGTTGATGAAATATGTATATATAGGCCAAGGGTAAAAGTTTCCAGGTACCTGTGACAACTGTTATACTGGCATTGGTATGCACCAATCCTCTCCCATTAGAGCAATGAGGGAGGTGCTGTTGCAGGATTGGAATCCCTGGAAATAGGCATCCCATAAAGGTTTTCTGGAAACTTTCTGAAGACAGAATCATAGCAGAGAAGTGAACGGAAAGAAAGTTGCCATGTCTCAGTGATCACTGTCAGGATGGTGTCAGTATTACCCATCTCTCTGCTCATAGTACAATGAGGGAGGTGCTGCTGCAGGGTTGGAATCCCCATGACTATGCATCTCGCATAGGAACTGAGTGAAAACAGAAAAAACACTTCTAATTGGTATTTATATACATCCTCATGGTGGTAGGATTACATATGTTTGGTCTAACGTTGGGGGTGATATACATATATGTTAAGAACCAAAACTTCCCTGTCATCACAAATACTTTCATGTTTGCACTTGCATCTACCAGTCCTCTCTGTTTAGTGCAATTAGCAAGGTGTTGAAACAGAGTTTGAATCCCTAGGACTAAGCATCACTTGTTCTTCTTTGTTTACTTTTGTCCCCTCAGGGCATAAGAAATCATGGCTCTCCACAATTTCCTGTCCTTTATAGCTCTTAATAAATTTTGTATTTTTGTTATTTCTCCTAAACCTTGTTCCGCCATCCATTTACTCAACCTCACTAAGTATATTTCCTCTGTGCCTCTTGCCTTCAATGTCTCATAAGTATCAGATTTTCCAAGCCTTCTTTCCTCATTATGTGTTGTAGAAATTTCAACTATCTGTTATGATGTTTATAAGTTTTCTTTTGGTTTCCATTTTTTTAAAAGTCATTGCTCACATATTCAGTTCTTATGACATTTAATAAACAATCACTTATTACAAAATTGTTAAATGCCTGAAAGTAAAAATCATGGCAGACAAAATAAAACAGATATTATGACTAGATCTCATCCAGGTACATCTACTTGTTAACAGATATTAAGTCTTGAGCATTTTTAACCATTTCATCCCAAGCAAGGAATTAAAGCCACTAAGTCACAAGAGTATGAAAGAAAATTAGAAAATATTAGAATATTAAAAGCTAGGATTCAGTGGGACAGAAAATGATGACTGTCATTGAATTTAAATTTTTGAAGATTGTAGATGACAGGAAGGCATGAAGCTGGAAAAGAGTTCTACAAGTGAGAGAAAAAACTATTAGAATTGAAATTAAGCTTACATTTAGAAATTTCGACAATAAAATGATGCTGTTTCCTGTTCATTCATACTGAAGTAGAGTTTATGGGTTTCACTTTCTGATCCAATAATTGAATTCACTTAGTCCCATTGTGACAGCAATATTTGATTAACATACACCTTTATTTATTGTGTCACCAATACAAATAACATCAATGGTGTATTTTTGAAGACTTTTAAATCCAATGCTTAGTACTACACTTAAATTTGTGAAGTTGGTTATTTGACTTTGTTTTGTAACATATCAATCTCTATGAGTTATTTAAGGCTGAAATCTAAATATTTTGATTGGCTTGGTTTGGTTGATTTTGTTTAGTGGCATATCAACCTCTAGGGGTTATTTAATGCCAAAATCTAAATATTTTGATTGGTTTAGTTTGGTTGATTTTGTTTAGTGGCACATCAACCTCTATGGGTTAATTAATACTGAGATCTAAATATTTTAATTTGTTTGGTTGATTTTGATTAGTGGCATATTATGGGTTATGTAAAGCTTAAATCTAAATATTTCAAACACAATTTTATGGTTTCAATATATTTTGAATGCAATTGTATGCTTTCAAATAAAAATAAAATGAATTGTTGGTAATTCAACTATAAAATGTATTGTTAGTCATTTTGCTTTAAAAGTGCATTGTTGATAATTTTAATATAAATATGTATTGTTGGTAATATTTTTATATGGAATATATTGTTGGTATTTTTACTATAAAAATGTATCACTGGTATTTTTATACTTTCATTGTGATTTGTTTTTCTTTGAGGGTTCACTATTTGCCCAGAACTAGGACCTTTACAGGTACTACCACCCTGAGTCAGGGATGATCTGAGAAAAACAACAATTAAGATGTGGTTCCATGGTCCTCAAAACCTCCAGTTTTTCAATCACAGGCCTTGCTGCCAGATGTAGTTTATTGCCATACCTAGGACTATTAAATTTGTGAAGCTGATGTACCAAAGAAGAAAGCTTATCAGAAGAAATAGCATGAAAGTATTTCTAGAAAAGGCATAGGGAAGCAACATTTACAATGGTGGGAAAGTTACTGAAACTGAAATGCCAGCTCAGCACTGGTTTCAATTACAAGACAGTCATCTTTGGTCAATTTTTCGGCACTATCTTAATTAAGTATACTCCAGACAATCTTCAAAGTAAAGATTACTCACACCAGCTCTTATATTGGAAAGAGCATTAATTAGTTAACAGCCATGATGCTGTTTCCTGTTCATATATACTGAAGTTGAGTTTATGCATTTCACTTTCTGATCCAGTAATTGAACTCACTTTGTCCCATGGTGATAGCAATATTGGATTAAAATATACCTTTATTTATTGTGTCACCATTCCAAATGACATCAATGGTGTATTTTTAGAGACTTTTAAATCCAATATCATATGATTTCAATATTTCATGATAGCTGTTTTCATAATTTTGTTTTATGGATTTTTTTATTATGTTGTATTGTCTCTATACTTCGGTAAATACAGTTTAAAATGTGTTAAAAGACTTTTTAATAAATTAGTATTTTCATCCACAAGCACTGTCAAATTTTATGACTCCTAATGGAAAAATTTTTAAAAATAAATTTAAAAATATGTAAGTTTTACAATATATATATAAAATATATATCAAGGGTGGCCAAACATACCTCTTTTAGGGTGCAACTATAATAAATATAAATCTTCTCTTATTACAGGTGGCCAAATATATATCAGAGGTAGCCAAATATATATGGAGGTGGCTAAATTTTCTTTTCTTAGGCTAGAGTTGGCCATACTTGGTTAATGTAAGAGCCATATATGATAAAGAACAGATATCTGTGAATTGAAAGACATGAACAAAATTTACACATACAATTTTGTTATATACACATTAACATTAAACATACAATTGAATCCAACAAAGTCTCAATTCATACCTAGTAAATAATTATGTACTAAATTTACATTCAATATCAATTGTTATCTATTATCTTCTTGATTGCTTTACTTTTACTGTTCTCGCTCATTAATAATGTTTCTCTTTTTTCATAATCTTTCAAACTCAGTAACCACTTGTGTCATAGTAGCTTCATTACCTTCCTTGGAATGAAATGATTAAGAAAAAAAAAAGATAATTAAACTCTTTGATTTGTAATAATTTCAAAAGAGGCCAGGGTGATTCACAAACTACGTTTGTTTATCATTACCCTAGTGTCCGAAATCTATGTAGTGGCATGATTAAATACTTCCCTATAATACTGAGCCTGGAACAGTGCTTATTAAAAAGTACTAAAAAATATTATAGATTATTAGTAAAAAATATTATAGGTTATTAGAAGATTATTAAATCTTATGTACAAAATTGAAGAGCCGGTACTATTAATTTATTTCTTTAAATTTCTTCTTACTCTTAACACAATGCTTATTTTGTACAACACATTTATTATTATTTAAATAATTTCCTTCTGAATATGCTAAGTTTGTTCAAGAAATTTAAAATTTCTGATTTATTTCATCCCTATCAGCATAATTATTCCAGACAGCACTTGTATTTGGTACAAAAGACTACGTCATGAAGGGACATGACATTAAAAAAAAAGTTTACATACCATTGAGGACAGAAAAATGAGTGATAATCTGATGTCCTTACTATTATTTGAAAGGTTTTCACAGAAGTAGATAAATATATATTTCCGGGTGGGGGGAGCTAAAATTGCATAATGTAAGAGTCACATGCATTTGAATTCAATAGAGTCACAATTCATAAATATAAAGCTTGAATTTTTTCTTATTTTTTTTATATAAACTATGATGAAAAAAGAAGCTCAGCCAATATATTTTCACAAGCTCCATATTAAAGGTCAAAGAGCCACATGTTGCTTATGTGCCATGGTTTGGCTACCCCTGAAGCATATCTCCTGCATTTAACTACACACAATTCTGCTCATGTAACTATAAGAAATGTAATCTTCTTTTATTAAGGGTGGCCAAATATATATCAAGAGTGGCCAAATATATACCAGGGGTAGCCGAATATATATCAGGGATGTCTAAATTTCCTTTTCTTAGACCAAGGTTGGCCAAACTTGCTTAATGTAAGAACCACATATAATAAAAATCAGAATGTTTGAGAGCTGCAAGACATGAACAATATTTACACAAACATTTTTGTTACATAAACATTAACATTACGTTTTAATCCAATGGGGTCATTCATACCCAGTAAATAATTTTAAAGTTTGAAACTTATTTTCATACCCAGTAAATAATTTTAAAGTTTGAAACTTATTTTTTATTTATATTAACTGTGTTGAAAAAAAAGAGATCAGTTAATACTTTGTATGTCCATTCCACAAAGTTGTTCCTTGCAGATTGACCACAGATTCTTGACTGGATTTAAATCAGGAGAGTTTCTGAGCCAGTTGTTAGTATTTTGATTTGATCACTGGTAAGGCTTGCCATTGTGTTCGTGCAGCATTACAATTTTCATATGCTTCTTTGGAGTAATGTCCATTGCAAACAATGGCTGTAGGACAACTAATCAACAGTCAAGACATTTATGTCTGGGCGTGATGAAAATCTGTTGCAATCACGGATGACGCAATATTTTTCAAGGCCAAATAAATTTCATCATGCACCCTGAATATAGATTCATATTACTGCACACCACTGCAAATGACCTAATCTGAAGAAAAAACAGAAATCAATTACACCCTGTCACACCAGTGGGTCTATGGTGAAAGAAAGGAAACTAAAGCAGTTGTTTCAATTAATTCTCACAATGGTGTAACTAGACACCATTCTGCTTATGTCATTACTTATATATGATGTATATTTAAATAAAACTTCTAAAAAGTAATAAAAATTAAATAGACAAACCTTGTTGGTTAATTTTAATAACATGTTTGAATTAAATTTTGATGGCTAACTATATGTATTATCTATCTATGTACTTTTTTACTAATTGTTCAAACAACAGACAACTTGCAAGAGGAACTAATACCTTAGTCAAGAAAAAATCCTGAACAAGTAAATAAAAAAAAGAATGAAAACAAAATGGTAGACACCTACCAACCCAGTAAAGTGCTCAACTTCCAGATTATCTAGACAGAGCAAAAAATGCTTTGCAATATCAACTTGAGTTTCACACTATCACATTCTTCAGACAATTGGAATGCAGCTGAAAGAAGGTGGGGTCTAGATATATATATCCATAACATCTATCTATCTATCTATCTATCTATCTATCTATCTATCGATAGATAGATAGATAGATAGATAGATAGAAAGAAAGAGTAGATAGAATGAAAGGATGATACAGAAAAGTTATATAGATAGAATCATAATATAAAGGGCAAATAGAAACAGTTGATAGATACATAGTCACATAGAATAATATGACATAGAACAAATAAAAAAGGTAGCTAGATAAAAAAGATGACACAGATAAGATAGATAGAAAGAAAGAAAGACTAGATAGAAATGAAAATGATGACACAGGATAGATCGATCTGAACAGACTTAGATAGATAGATAGATAGATAGATAGATAGATAGATAGATAGATATGTATCTCACCTGGACTATGCCAGAATAGAATTTGCCCTTAATATCACACTAGCCCAACAAAGGAGCTGGGTGCATGGTTGACTTGAGATTACTCCCAGCTGCAGAATGCAAATTCACATGACTTTACAACTATATATATATATATATATATATATATATATATATATATATATATATATATATGCATGGGGATGTAGAAATGACTGGAATGGTGTTCAGGCACACTGAGAATCCTCTTAGGTGCAGTTGTACTATTTCTCTAAGAGAAAGACACTCGGATATAAAACCTGCAGCCTCTACCATTGTTCATTCATCTTGTCATTGGCTTGTCATTGAATATTTGTTGGTAGAGGAGGATAGGATACTATGTCTGCAGCACAACGTCGGCAGGTTTAACTAACTGGAAGACCACAGTTGCAACACTGCACAGACTTATTATAACAATGCAACTTGTTGATTGGGCAGCAACTTGTTTTGGTGAAATCTTGGGTGAATGAGCTTCCTTTTTTAGGGCGTGCACTGCTCTTTCAGGGAGAGGTCTAGAAAAGATCACCTAAAAATTGTCTGTTCATTCATTTTACTCGTCAGTTTCTTGCAGTTGATAATTTTTCATTCAGGCAAGGCAAATACAAAACGTTTACACTCTCAAAAATATTTTTCAAACAAACTGTAAAATAAATTTATGTTGTTGAAATGTAAGAATACTTCTTGATCATCGCAATTCAAATCATCCTGAAAGGTGCACTGCTCTTGTTGCTAAAGTGTTAGCTTGTTATCAAATCAATATTCTTCCTCTTTCTGAAACCTGCTTAAGTGATGAAGATCATCTGATTGAAAAAGGTGCTGGATGCACGTTCTTCTGGAAAGGAGAAGCTGAGGGTATAAAGTGTGAGGCAGGTGTTGCATTTGCTATCAGATCTGATTTGACAAAGTACCTGGAGCAGAATCAAGGTATTACTGACCATATTATAGTGTTGAGACTTCCTTTGCCTCATAATTATTTTATGACTGTCATCTCTGTCCATTCTAATAAATACTGAAGAAACTGTGATGGTTTTCTACGACGATCTCAGAAATGTGTGGACAAAAATTTTGAGGGGCAATAAGATTGTCATGTTTGGTGATTTTAATATCAGGGTAGGTAAAGATAATGACACCTAGGATGCTATTGGCAAATATGAACTTGGTAAATTGAACAGCAATGGTCTTTGTCTACTTCAGTTATGTACAGAATTTGAATGTTGAACTTGCAATTGGCAATACATTCTTTCAGTACAAATTGGTTCATAAAGTCACTTGGCTACATCTTTGCTCAAAACATAGCCATATTCTTGACTATGCTATTTGTCATAAATGTGATCTGTAGGATGTTTGTAACATCAGAGTAAGGAATGGAACTGAGTATGGCAGTGATCATATGATGGTTAGAAGAAAATTAAAATTACGTATTCGGCAAAAAATGCAAGCAAATGGGGTATCTGTACCAAATGTATAAATGTTTCTAAGTTATATGATCCAAATTTGTCTGAAGATTTACAGAATGCTTTTGAGAATTCTGTATTTGATGGTAGATGGAATCAATTTAAAGTAACTGTTTATAATACCAGTACCCAAATATTAGGATTGAGGAAACACAAACATCAAGACTGGTTTGATGAAGATGATGTAGAAATTAATCTCTATCTATAAAAGCAGGATGTGTGTGTGTGTGTAACGAATACACGGCCGCAATTTTTGACGGATTTGCACCAAAATTTACATGCACATGCTCCAAGTTAGTGCATTTCCCAACTCCCATCGATAGTGGAAATAATCAATTTTTCATGCTTCTATGGCAGTTTTCATGTAGTTTGTGGCCATTTTCTACTGGCCAGAGTGAGAGCCAATAGCTGGTTGCCACAAATAGGCAGGAAGATTCTACTGGCCAGCATGAGAGCCAACATCTGACTGACACGAATGTTAACTAGCATGCTATCATGCAAAAAACATCAATAGCTGCATTTGTCTCAAGTGGGAAAAATTTAAATCTGCATGGCACTTTACTCCAATTGGCTCATTCGCTTGCTTAAACTCAACGTTGATTCTGATTCTGCAGAACTGGGTTGGGTGTGAAAAAGTATTTGTTAACATTCTTTTTTCATTTGGTTTTTCCAGTTACGAGTAATTTTTTAAAGTTGATCATTTTGTGTTCATTTTGTTTAGTTCTTTTTTCGTAACAGATTTAATGTTTAGTATAGAGCTTAGAAAAAAATTGCAGTGTGAGATAGGCAAGAAGTAAGGCATGTAGCAACATCAGCATGGCAAAGGGCACTCCTTTAAAGGCAAGGAAGGGCAAAAATATTTTAAATCAAGTGATAGTGATTGCTGTATGAGTCGTGTGATTTTTGAATCAAGCATGGGCAACGCCGGGTCATGCTGCTAGTGAACTTCTAAAAAGGTGAAATGAAACTCACCAGAGATATCTTAGTGCATCTGACAAAAATAAGTCATCTCTGTTGCAATCTTTTAAAAATGCAAAATCTGTTATGCAACATAATCTTCGTCAAATGAAGAATGAATGGTGAGCGAAACTTTTTGGACAAATTCAAACGGCTTTTGATCAGAAGGACTCAAAATCATTAGATCACTTGATAAGAAAGATGTTTGGTTCCAAATCTACCTCTTGTGCCTTAGAAATCAAAAGATGGAAATAGTATTTTAAAAATTCCAGAAGATGTAATGAAATGGTAGAATGAATATTTTACTGACCTGTTCTACAACCCATCCATTTTTGAAGACTCTGTTATTAACAATCTCCCACAGAATTACTTTATTCAAGAGATCGATCTTCCAGATCTACAAATCAACAATTCGCCCTTGCATGGAGTATTGCTGCCATATATGGTCTGGAGCCCCTTCTATTTGCCTCAGGGTTCTTGATAGGCTCCAGAGGTGGGTATGCAATATAATTGGCCCTGATCCGGCATCTTGTCTACAGTCACTCTCTCACAGACGCACCATCGCCTCTCTCTGTCTTTTTTAAAATTACTTTCATAGCAATTGCTCCAAGGAGCTGCATTCGCTGGTTCCCAGACTTCATAAGTTCAAGCACCCTATGAGGCTGGTATCCTGCTTTCACCCTTTCACTGTCGAAACTCCTAAATGTAGCTGTCTCTTGTACTTCAATAGCTTCACGTCTCGCACCTCTCGCCTGTGGAACTCCCTTCCCTATTCCAGTTTCCCTGAGAGCTATAATCTCCAGATATTCAAATGTAATGTAAATCGACATTTCCAGTTGCCTTGATCTATCCACTATCCTTCTCCTCATCTTTTCTTCTATCACTCCTATCTGATCTTGCTCCAAATCTTCTGTAACCCCTTGCGTTCTAGTGGCTTCTCGCCTTGCTTGGGGTGACATGCTTAAAAAAAAAAAGATGTTAGACCTTCCATCTCTGGATGAAGTTCAAACGGCTTTAAATTAGTACTGGAAATACTGGTCTGGATGACGTACCCACAGAAGTATTGCTCACCTTCCTTGAGTTATTCATAAGCTTATTGTAGATGTGTGGTTAGGTTGATCTCTTCATCAAGAATGGATTGACACAATCATTATATCTCTTTATAAAGGGAAGGGCTGTAAATCTGTATGTAATGAGGACAGAGGGATCAACTTGCTAGAAGTTGTTGGTAAAATATTTGTAATGTTGTTGTTGAACTGTCTTCTAAAGTACATCTGTCCCTTGATAATCTCTGAAAGTCAAAGTGGATTCCCAGCAGGTTGTGGCACCATGGATATGATTTTCTCAGCACGTCAGTTGCAGGAAAAAGGCATAGGACATCAGATTCCTCTATATCAGGTTTTCGTTGATATCACCAGGGTATTCAACACTGTGAATAGGGGAGCTCTTTGGACCATTCTTGGCAAATTAGGATGTCCTTCTGGCTTTGTCCAAATGTTTCATGATTTACATTGGAACATGAAGGGTAGTTTGAATTTCAACAGCATTTTATCGGAACATTTTGCAAATGATAATGATGTAAAGCAGGGATATATTCCTGACCCTACCTTTTTCTCCATCTCTTTTGCTTTGACACATTCGTATGCTTTTCAAAATTGTGATGTAGGTGCCTACCTGCACTTTAGGACATCTGAAAAGATTTTTCACCTTCAGAGATTCAATGCAAAATCTAAATGTTTTGATGTTGTAGTCAGAGAGCTACTCTATGCAGAGGATGTTGGCCTGCTAACGAAGATATGCAAGCTGCAATGGACCTGTTCTCTAAGACATGTTCATCTTTTGGTCTTACTATAAGCTTAAAGAAAACAAAGGTCATAGACACATGATTCGCCTCTCAGCATTATAGTGAAACAGATATCTTTGTTAATAGACATAGATTAGAAGTTGTTGATTTCAGCAGTGTTCTTTCAAGAGATGGCTCACTTAATGCCGAAATAAGTCATTGTGTACAAAAAACAAGTAAAGCCTTTGGAATGTTAGAATCTTGTGTATGGTCAGATAAAGGTATTTCAGTCAAAACTAAGTTAAGTTTGTATGAGGCGTGCATTTTAACTGCTCTACTATACTCCGCAGAGACATGGAGCACTTACTGACAACACATCCAAAATTTGGAACGTTTTCATGAAAAGTGCTTTTGGAGGATTCTAGGTATTAAGTGGCAATCTTTTGTGCTGTGCACAACAATTGTAGAAAAGGCAAATATGTTTAGTATTGAAAAGATACTAACACGTAACCAAATGCACTGAGCTGGTTGCATCATAAGGATGGATGATGAACGCCTCCCAAAACATTTGTTCTATGGTGAAATGACAAGCTGCAAACATCCTCCATACAAACCAAAAAAGTGCTTCAAAGTTTTCATTAAAACTTAAAATCTTGGGAGAAGGAGGCAGGTGAAAGTTCTAACTGCCGAAAACTTGTTTATGATCATTGTAACAGTTTTGAAGAGAAAAGGGATAAACATTGTTATAGACAAGCGTATGGTTGCAAGAAAGAAATATGACAACAGCAGAAAT